AGAGCCTACCGGGAGTTCAAAGGTCATCAAAGGCACACCGATGACAGCGACAGGCCAAAAGAGCAGGGTTGATGCTCTATTGAACCAACATAGCGCTGGGGCTATCCTAGTCGACGATACACCTATCCCCGTATCCACGCGACCAGTCCAGAAGAGCCTCCTTAGAGGTAGTTCTACGCCGTTGTTCCCATCCAGGCGGCACCTAGGCCAGGCGAAAGACGACTCTCCGTCAGCAAGCATCTCGATGAGGAAGCGAAAGCGAGAGCCGTTACTCAAGCTCCGCCCTGAGAGCGAGCAAATCTTCAAGGACCTCACATTCTTCTACGTCCCCGATGATGACGTTGCACCGGCTCGTCGGTTGCGCATAACAAAGGCCCGCGAGTTTGGTGCGACGTGGGTGAGGGCACCTCGCATCGCAACGCATATCATCGTCGATAAGCACATTCAGTTCAAGGATCTCGATGGGATTCTGAAGGGTATCAACAAGAATCTCCCACCCAAGGTGGTCAACGAGGACTATCCGATCGACTGCATCCAGTTCAAGGCACTTCTTGTGCATAGTCAGAAGAAATACCAGCTCGTGGGTCAGCCCATAGTCCAGGAGGAGGACAAGATCTCGACAACGCCGTCGAGCTCTGAAGAGTCCATCCAGTCATTACAGATCAAGCCAGCACACAAGAACCCAAAGAGATGGGACTACATCGCTCCCGGAAGCACGCCAGATCTGAGTGGGGAGTCTTCGCGTCCAAGTCAAGTCTCTGAAACACCTATTCCAACGGACTCGCAACCAGTCATTCTCGACCTCGAGCCTATGGTATCCTCTCCGAAACAGGCTTCAGACAATGACCTGGAATCTTCTGGCAGGGCGATTCAAGATGATCCGGCAGATGCCCAGGGGGGCAGAAAGAGTCGGATAAATGATGCAGAACAACCTCAAAAGATTATTGACCACAAGGATGAGTTATCGGATTACATCAAACTAATGATGGAGTATAAGGACCTCCCGTTAGATGCCGATGAAGACGACAACCATACTGTGATAGAGATGGAAGATACTGGATCAGATGAGCATCACCATTCAGGCTCAGAAGACGAGAAAGCTCAAAGACGCAAGTCACGGAGAAAGACACGATCTGGTCGCAAAGACCTCACTTTTCAAAATCGATTCGCCTGCAACTCAGCTGGGGCAAAAGATGCAAAAGCGGGGAATCCAAATGCCCGCACTATTGAGGTGCTCCAATCCATGGCTGACTACTACGACCGGATCAACGATCATTGGCGCACGACTGCCTACCGCAAGGTCATCAGCACTCTGAAGCGTCAAGATACCAAGGTGACGACGGCAGAAGAAGCGCAGCGACTCCCCAGCATCGGGACACGCCTTGCAGAGAAGATCGAAGAGATTGTCACGACAGACCGGCTTCGGCGGCTTGAATACACTCAGAAAGAACCGATGGACGAAGCGTTACAGCTGTTCCTTGGAATCTACGGCGTTGGCACCAGCCAGGCTCAACAATGGCTTGCCCAGGGATTCCGAACTCTCGATGACCTCAAGGCCAAGGCAAAGCTCTCACCCAATCAATTGCTTGGCATCGAACACTACGACGACCTTAACACCAGGATCCCGCGGCGTGAAGTGGAAGCTCTGGGTACAGTGGTTCGAAAAGGCGCTCAACAGGTTGATCCAAATGTTGAGCTCATCATCGGTGGGAGCTACAGGCGAGGAGCAGAAACATCGGGCGACATCGACTTTATCATTACGAAACCAAACACAGAATCATCATCAGAGTTGAGGCCGTTTCTTGATGACCTCGTCCATCGTCTTGAAGCCCAGGGTTTTCTCGTCGCGAGACTGGCTTCGTCAAGGTCAGCCAGCGACGGCAGCAAGTGGCATGGGTGTTGTGTGTTGCCCAAGATCAACGGTTTCAACGATGGAAACTACCAACCCATTTGGCGACGCATCGATTTCTTGCTGGTGCCCGAGACAGAGATAGGAGCAGCTTTGTTGTACTTTACGGGCAACGACATATTCAACCGCAGCATTCGACTCCTGGCTTCCAAAAAGGGAATGCGACTGAACCAGCGCGGCTTGTACAAGGACGTGATGCGTGGACCTCAGCGAGTAAAGGTCACAGAAGGAGAACTTGTCGAAGGACGAGATGAGAGGAGGATATTTGAGATTCTGGGGGTTAAATGGCGGGAACCTCACGAACGGTGGTGCTAAGAGTCTTGAAGAGGGTCCCTCGGGCCATTTCTGGTCTACCGAGGTCAAAATTTACGGTATTTGGACTAGCATAGCGTGGAGTTTGGGGAATTGGAGACGATGAGCATGGGTTTGAATCCGAGAGGGTCTCGAGGCATTTGTATCTTTCAAGATTGTCTTTTGATGGAGGCCTTGGATACGGGATATATACGTACCTACCTTGGATCTCAACTATGCCTGTCCACTTGCACATGTGAATCTGACCGTGCATGAGTCAAGGTGGCATTTCCCCAGATCTTGGCCATTGGAAGCTTCCTTCGAGCCGTGATGGATCACATGTGAAAGTCCCTTTCTCCATGAAATCGAGCTAAAGAGGTGCTCCAAATCTTCACTAAAGACCTTCAGTGGATGGATCCCCTAGACCGCCCTGCGTCATAGTGTACCTTGTCAGCCAGACCGAGAAAATGGCACATTGTAGATGGGCACTAAGAGCTTTATCGGGACATAGAGACATTACTTAGAGACAAATGAACATTAAGAAATATGTAATAAATGATTTTCATTCTCAGTTATATATAGATAGAATTATTACTACAATCATACGCCATATATTCTATGGTTATGCAGATTCAAAACGTAGACCATTAGCGATGTGTGCTATTCTTTCTGACTCCTAGCCTGTCCCCTAAAGCCGTCCGGGCCTTGGGGGGTGCCGGGCCAAGCTGCCGTCTCCGCAGCACAAGCCGAGCACACCCCAAACATCCGAGGCTCGCGACCAGGTGACGTGCGTCGAGTCCCCATCCCAGTCATGGGAGGTTCAACTCTATTGATAAATGTCTTGACACCTACGCAGACAAACCTCCGATTACTACATCCTACCCCTGGCACGTGGAACTCACGAGAGGAATCGAACGACGACGATAACATCCGATGTGCTAAGAGAGCTTTCCCCTGCGCCGACCCTTTCCCTTGCCTTGCACCCGCTGCTAGCTCGAGACCCTGCGACGGCTGTGGATTAGGACCAGGTGCTTTCTGCCGAGGCTCGAGAGCTTGGGGGACACGATGGCGTCGTCGGCGATGATTGAAGTAGTCAAGGTACTGCCCCATCGACACATTGCGACGAGAAGGAGGGACGTTGTGCTGACGGAGCTTTCGGGTAGAACGCGCTGGAGGAGATTGTCAAGGACCCGCGATACCATGATCTCCTGTCATTGATCAAGACGGCGCGCAATGGCGCAGTCTACGGAACCAAAGTGCGGTTTCCTCACGCGCTGGTGTAAGCATCTCCCTTTTCCAAATTTGACGGTTTGCGACGTCGCTAACTTGGTTGTTTACAGGATGATCTTCCTCTTCCGCTCTGGAACGTACGTTTAACCACCTCACGAGATAACACCCACGAACGAGCTAACGCGCATTGTGATGTAGATTCCGATACAAGGCTGGATTGGTATTACGAGCGACGAGACACCATGCGAGCAACTTAGCGCGATTCGCCGTCATCTACAAGCTGACCATGTTGGCGCTCAAATACTTTGGCTCTACGCCTGGCAAGGAGGGTACGTCATAGCTACCGGAACCTTGGACCATCACAGGATTCTGGAGTTCTAACGGAGATAATGTTATAGGTACATACGACTCGTTCGTCGGCGGTCTCGTTGGAGGCTACTTTGTCTTTGGCGGACGCTCCAAGCGCACAGGCAAGATCTCGTCGGTCAACCAGCAGATCGTCATCTACGTCTTTGCGCGGGTCATGCTCGCCCTCGCGCGCATCGCCGTCAAGCCGGGCCACGGGTTCCCCCTCGTGTCCTCGGAGCCTCTGCACTCGACCATCAGCCACTACGCCTGGCCGGCCTTCGCGTCGCTGTCGTGGGCCATGGTGATGCTTGTGTTCCGCTACCACCCCGAGGACCTGCAGTCGAGTCTGCGGTCCAGCATGACGTATATCTACAAGGACTGCAACGACTTTGATTCGCTCCGGACCTTGCTTTGGCATAACAAATAGATGGGGGGTTGGTTGTGGGGGGTGTTTTTTGTTCTTGGGTTGGTTAGGTTGGCGTTTTGGGCGTGATTGGTAGTTGTCAAGGGAGGCATCATGAATGTCTGTCTGGTATTTGCATAACATTGGAAGATTATCCATACCTCGAGGGTTCAATGGTCAGATGGGCCTTGTCTTTATAGGTAGCATTGTAGACTTTGGAATATGATAACCGAGTAGACTTGCAGTTGGTGTCATGGTCTGGGAGCAGTGTTGTTTCCGTATGCCTGTGAACGTCTTGAATAATCCCTAGGCCGTATAACGCCGGGTCCTTTGTTGCGAAAGCTACAGTGTGTGTTATCCGCTGTAGATAGTACTGGGCAGTCAACAACGGATGATACTCCTTCACATAATGTTGGCCGTGGAAGGTCTCCATGTGGGTTGTTGCATAACGCTTTTATGGGGTAATGGTATCACCAACGCCTCTCCATAATACCTAGAGAAAGATCTATGTCTAGCAAACCTCTCAAGAAAACACTCTTCCCCGGATATTAAAATCCATCAAGACCCTTAATTAAGCGTGGAGTCTCAGCCAGGCTTCCAGGTTCCGAGGCCAGCTTGCCGCGGTCAATATCTGGCGCTAATCAAGCAAGCTACCCCGCTAAAGCTGCCCCCCTGCTTGCCCCTCCACACTGACGCCTGCAGTGAGCCTCAACTTCCAGGCTGGGGCCCGGCCAGGCAACTCCACCTCCACTCACGCTCACCAACTTCCTATCGCTTCCATCCTCTCCTCATCAACCTCCCCGACGACGACCGACAACCATGGCGCCAAACCCCAAAGTCGCCGAGGCCATCTCGCGAGCCGAATCCGCTCCTGGGGAAAAAGGACCCCTCTATGAGCATCTCCTCGCCGAAATCAAGACGCTCTCCTCACCGGCTACCGCTACCGACGACCTCAATGCCGTCGTCGACTCCATCTTTAACCAGGCCCTCGGCATCGTGGCCACGAGATCCGTTCTCGCTGCCTTTATCACCACCCTCCGCGAGCTCAAGAACGAGGACATGTGGATCGAGGTCGGAACCCGGACTCTAAACACCATCTCGGCCCAGCCCTCGTCGTCCTCATTCATCGACGCCGGCGCCACGATCCGCGAGCTCGTCGCTACCGCCCATGAGAACAATGAAGACTTTCTCGACGCCGCAAAGGCCCTGGCCGAGATTCCCCTCGAGAGCTCGCAGCGCAAGGTCACGGACGAGGAAAAGGCCCGTACGTGGGTCCGCATTGTGCGTAACTACCTCGAGGTGGACGACTCGACGGTTGCCGAGATGTACATCAACAAGCTCAAGAACATCATGCACCTGGTGACAGACCAGGACTTGAACTTGCATTTCAAGCTATCTCAGGCCCGCATCCAGGATGCCAAGCGAGACTTTCTGTCTGCTTCGCAGCGATACCACGAGATCAGCTTCTCCCCCGCCATCGCTGAGGAGGAGCGACTGCATACTCTTAGCATGGCCGTCAAGTGTGCCGTCCTGGCCCCCGCCGGCCCCATGAGAAGTCGCACGCTTGGTCGTCTGTACAAGGATGAGCGATCAGTGCAGTTGGAGGAGTTTGGCATTCTAGAAAAGATGTTCCTCGATCGACTCCTGTCGCCTGAGGAGGTGGACAAGTTCGCCGAAGGTCTACAACCGCACCAGCTAGCGACGACTTCTGATGGTTCCACGGTGCTCGCCAAGGCCGTTGTGGAGCACAACCTCCTGGGTGCGTCCAGGCTCTACAGCAACATCCGTTTCGAGGCCCTCGGATCACTTCTGGGCCTCGATGCCGACAAGGCGGAGGAGACCACAGCTCGAATGATTGAGCAGGGCCGTCTAGTCGGCAGGATGGACCAGGTTGACGGCATAGTATGGTTTGAAGGTGGTGAGGCTTCGGGTGAGAAGGGCAGTGGAAGAGCCGAGATCATTGTAGGCAAGGAGATGAGAAAGTGGGATGACAACGTCGAGAGTCTGGCTGAAGATGTGGAAAACGTCACCAACACATTGCAAAAGGAATTTCCCGTGAGTATCCATTTTCATTTGATTCATTACTATGCCTGATGCTAACTATCCATCTCCCAGGAATTTGTGGCCGTGAATCTCAATGTATGAAAAAAAAGAAGGGATAGAAAGAAGCATCAAGGCTTTTGTTGCGCACGGCGTTGGGGGGTTGGGCATCGAGGACAGTTTCCTCCACGATGAAATGAATGCATATCCATGTAGCTGGCTCATTTGGTTTTAGACTGGCATCATGAACAGGCCAATTACTCTAGTCCAAATCTTTCTTGCGAACGACGACATACCCCTCGCTGATTTTGCGAGGGTTGCCTTCTTCCTCTTCAAAGACAAAGTCATCCTCGAATTCCAGCTGAGAAGGACTGCCGAGGGTGTCTTCGCGCCGCAGGATGTCTATCAGGGCGTTGGCAATGTGATTTCCCATCCAGTCGTAGCCATCGTCACGGAGGTGTAGTCCGTCATCCCAGTACTTTTCACGATCTGCTTCTGAGAGCGAGTGAAAGGGGATGTGAGCGTGGAGATCAAAGGAGTAGCTACTAACTGTCAGCTGGGCTCTTTACTAGTTGATACAGATAGGAGAAAGTGGAGATTGATCCGAGTGATGTATCATGTAGGCGTAAGAATGTCCCGTGACTTACTAGTTAGTGTCCTTGTTGTTGAGGATCATCTGGTTGAGCTCATGCCTAGACTCGATGCCTCGCTCACCCTTGGCCTCGCACTCGGGGACGGTGAGGGCGAGGACCTTGTGCTCTCTACTAAGGGCAATGTCGTAGACTTCTTTGAGGGCCTCGAAGATCTGGACTGGAGGGATAGCGTATGCAATGTCGCTATATTCACAAGTTAGAGGTGGGCGGTGAGAAGGGAACGGGGAGTTTACTTGGTGCCGCCTAGGATAATGGTCCAGTCGTAGGTCTTCTTGCTCCCTAGGTGAAGGTGTACATCGTTAGCTATGCTCGTTGAGAGGTATGTAGACACCCAAGCGAAGCCCAAGCAGTGGCGCGAAGACCATCAAGCATCACGACATAGATGAGTGAATTCGACGTACAGGCAGCCTCCATCCTCTTGCGAAAACGTTCAAACGAAGCAACATCCCCAGGCTGGCCATCAGCGACCACCTCAAAGTCGACATCGGGAAAAGCACCCGTGAGGCGATCCTCAAGCTTGAGAGCGTAGGGGTGCGATCCCATGCCCCAGCAGAAGTAGCCCGAGGTCAGGGAGTCGCCGAAGCAGAGGATTCGCAGGGTCTTGCGCCCCATGATTTGATGCTTGGGCGGAAGGAATGCGTGATGGGGGTACTTTTTGGCCAAGGCGGGGGGAGGAAGTTGGATGTGAATGGCGTTGAGTGTAAGCGGGCGAGACAGGCAGCAGCTGTAGCACAGCCTGGTTTGGCGGGTGTCTGTGCTGTGTTGAATCGGAAGACTTGAGGCACGATAGCCAGGCACGTAGTTTAAAGGTTGTTGTTGGTAGATGGCCGGGCCAGGCTATCTTGTGTTGGTTCTTGATATTCTGAGAGCCTTGCGCAGCTGCTCAACGGGGCAAGCTGTTGATTGTGTAGCTGTCAAGTTGTTCGCTTCGATCATGCAAGTACATGTGAGCACGAGATGCTGGATTCAGAGTACGTGTAATGCTTGCGCCAGCCACAATAGGTACTGCATTGAACTACTCGAAGTCGCCTATTATATAACCACACTAGTAAAAGTTAAGAAATTCACTATTCATCTCACACATTAACAAGAGGCAAAGCATTGTTATTCTTTATTGTCCCATCTCAGCTGAATCGGGGCTACCTTGTAGGGTAGCTACCTAGTTACACGCCTGGTCACAAGCACCTCGGCCAATGGTGGAGAGTCATTCAATGTGAGTTGCGCTCTACAAATAAAGAAGCAGTAATTGATCAAACTGAAGGTCGTCAGAGTCCAGACTTGCAGAAATACGAGCTCCGGAGCAAGAACAGGGCCCTTCACCTTGAGTTGTCGATCTGCCCGCTCGCAACTGCAAGGCGATTGTACCGCAATTGGGTCTTTCCCCTCAACAACCTCTGGTGAGATGGCCGAGTTGGTTATGGCGTCAGGTTAAGGTCACCTTAACAACCTAAGATTCCTGATGGAGCAATCCTCCTGGGTTCGAGTCCCAGTCTCATCAATTCATTTTTTTGCCCCCATTCCCGATTTCTGCGATGATTTCTCTTTTTGCTCAACTTCACCATCGACATGATCATCATCAGCGGTTGTGGCGCGTCAGAAAACGCCAATATGTAGAGCCATAAACTCAATTCCTAGGCAATGTAGCTTATGCTCCAGATTGTCTCATAAACACCAATTCCATTCATCACAACTCAGAGCTTCACCCTCTGATCAAGCATTTAGCACATGGTATAGACCTCAGTGAGCTGTGACATCACCTTGTGATAATGCTTTGTCCACTTGCAAGGTCTGTATACGCCCTGTCTTCTATCTTGATTGAAAGTATATGTGGTATACGCGAGAACCCCAAACCATCCAGTATTATCCCTTTTGCTCCTGTCCCCCGTCGCCGTGATCCCGGCCCCAATAGCAAAATCAAATCAAATCAAGTCAAAATCCTGTTCTTGTACACTGTAATGTTCATACCCTGCCCTGCCCCTACTAGTCTTCGATATCATCATCACTCAACACCAACTTCTGAGCCAGCAGTCCTGTCACGCTGCCTGATTGAATACCCGCTCTCCTTTTCCGCGGGCTTGTCTCCTCGGATGGTTTATCGGTTGCCCACGCCTCTCCAGGTGCATGATCCTCATCCGCGTCGGAGTCTTGGTCTGGGGCATTGATCCCTTGGAACGAGATCACCTTCTCTAGGTCGCGGAGTCGGAAGCTGGATGTCTTGCGGGCGCGGGCAATGTGAGCCATATATGGGAGCCTCTCGAGAAGCATCTCACGGCGTGCTGCACTGCCCAAGGAGAGGAGGGGCGCGTTGTCGTCTTGCTCATCTAGCTGAGGTTTCGCAACAGGGGGGCGATTCCGTTGCTGGCGCTGCATCCAGGATGATTCAGCAGAGGATTGCTGTTGTGGGCGACGGAACGCAATGGCTCCATCGGTGAGGTTCTTTGTAGCCGCATGGTCCTCACCCTTGAGTAGTTTCGTAGACCACATATCTACAAGACCCTCGAGTTCCTCCTTGGCACGCCAGAGCTTGAGACTTGTGGGGTAAAACATCTTGAACGCGTCGGTGCCTTTTGTGTACGATGTTTTCCGCTTTACTGGGTTTGGCAAGGCGAACAGCATACCGCGGACGGCGACTTGGAACGTCATCTCGTCCTGACGCAGGAGATGGCTGCCAGAGTCTCGGCCGGAGAAGCCGCCTCTCCCACCAAAGAAGATGTCTCTTGAGGGGGAGAGGAGATCGCTCTGGGAAAGGTACTCGATGCATTCGTTGACGTAGTCGATTGGAGTAGAGAGATCCATAGGATCTGTACTCTCGCACGAAAGGACGTAGTTCTCGTGCAACGCTGATATAAAGGTATGTGTGTCTGTTCCAGTCTCATCGATGAGAGAGTCGACAGAGACCTCAGAGCGCTTCGGCCTCGAGTGATGCGACAAGAAGTTTGGTAGGGTTTCCACCTTGTCATCTCGAGGAGCAACTTCATCTCGTTTGTTGTACACGACCTTTCCAACGGCATGAAAGATGCCCAGACTTGCCTCACGCCGAGATATTAGCTCCAGACTCTCCTGCTCCCCATGCGTGAGCTTGATTGCATCCTTGACACCCTTCTTTTGTTTTGTAAATGCCACCTTGCCGCCCCAGTCTGCTTGCTGATCGCCCTTCAAGCAGAGGAACTCGAGAGAAGACGCGGCGCTCCGGATGTCTCCAATTTCACCTAGGCGTTTCAAGACTTGGGGCCCAGGTGTTTTCCTCCGGCCGGATTTCCTAGCTTCCTTTTGCACGATCAACTCGAGAGCTTTCTGCAACAAGGTGGGTGCAATAGCATTGAACTCGATCATCCCGACTCCTGGATGCCGTAAGATCTCAGGCCCCAAGAGTCGGTGGGCTGTGAAACTGTCTGCCGAGGCAGATGTTGTGGTTAGGAGAGTCTCTGAGATGATCATGACCATGGGTGCCACAGGTTCTTGTCGGGATGGCTTTGCAAATGTGGACAATGAGGGTGTGTTATCGGCGAGGTAGCGTAGTATGGTGTTGCGGAAGGATGTCAAAGCTGTAGATGCCCTCGAAAAGGTGTTGGGAAACTCTTCAATGAGTATGATTCGCTTCGAATCCTTCTTATGTGTCCCATGGAAACTGTTCTGCGTGGGAGGTCCAACCATGTCTGTATCTAGGGCGCCGAATTTACCGCCGCGACCAAGAAACTCTTCGAACTGCGCCGATGTCGAAACAAAGCCAAGCCCAGAGCTCCCTGTAGGATTTCGCCATTCAAGAAGCTCGCAACCCATGTCGTTTGCCAGGAGCCGCATGGTCGTCGTCTTGCCAGATCCGGCCGCGCCCTTGAGGATGAGGAGGCGCTGTCGCATGCGCCCAGCCATGACGTCCTCGAGCCATCTTCTAACGTCCGAAACCTTCTTCTTGTGCACTGCCAACTCGTCCAAATTCTTCGGCCCAAAGCGATCTGACCAAGGACGCAGGTCCTCATCAGCTGCTGCTGGGCGTTCTGGCTTTGGGGGCTTCAAGAACTTCTGGCTGGCACTAGGAGCTTCCGATAAAGTCGTCTGAGAGCTGCCTCGGATCCTCTTCTTGGCGCGTTGGCCGACCAAGCTCGTAGTGCCCGCTGTCTGCTCCGAAATCTCATCATCCTCCGAGATGGGATCGCTTATTATATCGTCGAGAGGAACGGACCGCCTATCCCCGTTTCCTGACCTCGCAGCTCGTTGTGCTTGATTTGAAAACAGAGTCTTGAGATCTGCAGTTTTCCCCTTGTCGTCTGATTTCCCAACATCCTTGGTCTTCTTGGAGCTTGGGCTCGTGCCGTTCCTATGCGATTGCGGTCGACGAGGCAGGCGGTTCGAAGTAGTTGTGGAGAGCTTTCCGGTGGTGGGCTTGCTCTTGGATGGGCTCGGCGATGCGACAGGAGGACGTGTCTTTGGGGGCGAGCTCGGTGAGGAGAGCAGGAAGTTGGTGAGCGTGTTCGCACGGGGCGGCTCGTCTTCGTCGTCTGAAGCGTCGACGACATTCCGCCGGCGGCGCTTCGCGGGCGGAGCCATCAACGCGAATTATGCATCTGCAGGGACAGCATACCGCGGCTGAGAGACTGTGCGATTGGCCCGGAAGCTTCGAAAAGGTGATTGCCGTATAAGTCGATGAAGATGCTGAATCTCGAAGTAATGGCGTCGTGAACGGGCTATCGATGCGCTAGGGACCCGCAGCACAGTGCTTGTGGAGAATTCGCACGCCATGATCTCAGCAGGGCTCTCAACAGTTGCTCACTGATACGAAGGCATGCATGGTTGGATGACAAGTGAGAGATTCAGGCATAAAATGATTTTCCCTATGGTGGTAGTTTCATCTCCCTTATTCAAGTCATTATTTGAGTATTTGGTATTAATACAATGCAAATATCCAATGCCATCATATACATTCGTTCGTAGCCATCCTGATGCAATTTTCGTTCCAATATGTCGTACCTAGGCGTCCTGAAAGCATTTTACAACCCTTAAAAAGTCCATCCCTGAAAGTTGTCCACGAAGGTGAGAGCGGCAAGGAGGTACTGGTTGTTGTCATCCCCCCAAGTCTTTGACGCCTCCTTCATCGCGCGGATCGCTGTCACCTGTTAGTCATGGTTCAAACATGAGGGAGGTTGCCTAACCTTTGACGTAGTGAGAATCAGTGGCCCAAGATGAGTTTAGAGCCTTGTCCACGACGTATTTCCAGTCCCTGCCCTTTGGGTCGCTGTCCACATTGTCCGGATTAGGTAGAGGTCGGCCTCTGACGATGAAGACGGCTAGCACCAGAAGCCACCACTCTCGGACAAGAGTGATGTGATGCTCCTTCGGGAAGAAAGGTAGCAGGATTCGGACAGCGTGGCTCGTGGTCAAGAGATGGACCAGGAAGAAATCGAAGGCATGGGTTCCTGGCTGGACAGTAGCAACCAGTATAGCCACTGCAGCTTCTTGCGACATCTCAAACTGCTTGAGAGGATCGTTAATCTCCCAGGCATTCCAGTACTCCAGGATCAGATCCTCGTGCTTTTCAAAGATCTCCGGTAGTTCGTCGAGATCGGGGTGTTTTGGCAGAGCATTGAACCGCTCGTCCTTGGTCATCTTGATGAGTAGTTGAAGTGGTGAGTCGGAGGTGAAGGAAGCCTTCTTGGTGTATGATTTGTTGTCAATGTACTTGTGGAAGAAGTTGTACTGCACACAGGCGAGGCCTAGTGACTCCATTGCAACCTCCTTGCAGTCCATCTCAATGGCATATCCAAGATGAATGAGAGGGTGTCCAACTGTTAATGTTAGTTATGAAATTCTCAAGTCCTTGGATGAAAGGATAGTCATACGGCCACCAATTAGACCATGCCACAATGGCTCGTCGCCTGTGAACAAGTAGTGAACCAACTCTTGCCGCCAGTCATAGTTGAAGCGCATGACAAGCTTGTCTTCGAAATAGTCGACAAAGGCACGTTGGTATCTTCGGTCCCCTCGAAGCTCCTCCCAATCATCGTCACCAATCTCAGCAGGCGAAGGCACCCATGGCTCGAGCTCAACAATCTGCTTGTCGTAAATGTCATTCAGGTGAGAGACACTTGCCCCAAGGAGGTACGCCGAGCTGAGGACATGAGGGTTGTGGTTGTCGAACTGAAGATTGTGGTAGACGATTGAGTAGTTGGCGTGATTGGCCTTCAACAGATGCTTTAGACATCTCGCCCTTCTGTCCGGGTCTGTCTCAATCGAGTGAACCTCGACCGGGGGTACGTCAATTGACTGACGGGTTGAGGCCAGTCCCAAGAGTCGATTCACGACGGGAACCTGTGATAAGAGGCCAGCCATTGTGAGAAATGAGAATGTGGAACTGATACGAGTGTGATCTGATAATGAGAGAAGCAAGATCACAATGACGTCCAAGTGAGCTGTAGAAATGGCTGGCGCCGGTTCCGTTGGGGGCGTTCAACGGACACTAACAAAATGGCGGGGCAAGCTTTTTCCTTTGGGGACTGTCACTCAGTGACGCGTGCACGGACCAAGCGGCAGTGGATTATCAATCTGCAGTCTGGCTTCGCGTCTTCTCATCTTGAACATCACAACCAATTCACGTCGACATACGCTTTGGTCTCTCGCAATGGCAGCTTCAACGGAAATATCTATATACGCCGAGCTTCTGTCAAATATAAGACAAGTCTCAGTTGTCGCGTCCTTGTCATCACCTCCCGACTCGTCCACCAAGGCAGAAATCTCACATGAAGGCCGACGCCTTGAAGTAACTCATCAAGGGCAGACAGAATCCATATCCCTCCCGGCACAAGTCGCCCTCACTGCGGCCCTTCCGGTGGCGACAAATGGACGCCCGGCTTTGTCCTGGAGACTGCCCGTGTCTCCAGCCGAGGCAAGGCCCACCCGCTTCTCCCTGGAAAATCAAACCCTGCCATGGACCTCAGTCGATATAGAGACTGGCTCGCGGATAGGCTGTCGTAATTGCGACAACGAGTTCGTCACACAGCACGCCATAAAAGCCTGGAAAGATCTGCCAAGCGAGAACTGGGCTGAAATGATGGAATTTTGGCATTGTCATAAACCCCATGACCACGACCAGCAAGATCCTGAATCGCTGGTGAGCAAGGGCTACGGCGCCAACCATGCTATATCCGCCCAGTCGGGCATTGGTTTCGTCGACCTCACCTCGTTCCTCTTCTCAGAATCCGACTGTAAAGGTGTCAAGGTAAGTGATGATTCTGACGCGACTGCTTTTGTTCCACGCTAGACCTCGCCTGCACCCGGTCTCAGCCTCCAGACTGGGGAGAAAGAAGATGTCCATGTCGGTACCCAACCTTTCAGTGGTCTGGCCATCGATACAACTCCCCAAGATGAATGCACTGTCGTTCTCACACCGTGGGCTAGCAATCTCTTGGAAACCTTCTTTACCGAACGGGTTCCTCGCGTGACCTAGAAGACGCAGCCACTATTTTTCATCCGGCTTCTCAAAGATATGGGAAACGGGAGATTAACAGGAGGCACATTTGCTTACAGGAACAATGTTGATGTATCCTGGACTATCGATTAGCTGCTTACACCTTGTAGTATTCGTCCTCAACCGTGGATGCTGGCTTCGACCTCTCTTCTTTGGCCTTGGACGACAACGAGACCAAGAAGTATCTTCATGTCTTTTGCCAGAAATGCCAACTTGAGGTTGGCCTATTCAACATTCTTGCATCATCCGTGACGCTGTTCAAATGGCAGATCACTTGCCAAACCATCAAACCAAGCCCCAGGCCCAGTAGTTCTGAGTGTCTGGCAGCCACTCTTCTGGCCACAATCTCCCGGTCAGGATCCTCCAAGTCTATCATCACACCACACATCCTGGGCCCGGAAAGTACAGAGACAGACGAAACCAAGACAAATCTCTTTCTCTGGGTTCTCAACCCAAATGTTGTGTACGCCTCCTCCTCTGCCACTGGCAGCAAAACGGCAATGAAGATACTCTACAGACAGATCCCGGTAGACGAGGGCGAGAAGTTGACCACCTCCATGATCTCGGATGTTCAAGAAATCACTTTGCCCGCCTCAGCCATAAAAGCAGCCGAAGATTGCTTGTCTTCCAGCAACAACTTGCTGCCAGCCCAGGAGAGGAAGTTCAAGGCATTTGACGTTGGGCTTCTTGGAAGGTGGGAGGCTACTTGATGAAAAGTGGCCTTGAGTGTCCATCTTTGAGAAGCATATCGACTTGAGCATGGACAGTGAGCATCCTTCGAGAAAGAATAAGCAGATTTAAGCTACGCATAGGTAACTGGAGGATACAATACACCAATCTGTTCCCAATACGTGTAATTGCCGCCATTCTCCTTGGTGACCGAGATCATGTGACTTGCTGCGCACTGGGGGAGCCCCTGATAGAAGAGCCTGGTGTTGGTCACTTGAAAATGGCGTGTCAGATCTTTCACTTTCATTTTACCTTGTCTAGTTAATCAATTTATTGGGAATTTCATAATCTGAAGAAGTAGGTTCGCGCTGTTTTTGTGAGAACTACCTTAAGTCGATGCCTGAACAATTCCATACTCGGCTGCGCTTTCCTCGAGGTTTGCTTCGACGCACAGTGCTCTGATTCACTTGCACGGTGTATCACAACCTCCACACTACTAGGCATCCGTCTGCACCTTGACACCTCTACTCCATCACTCTCGCTCACACCAACGAAGACTCCGAGGAACCAATCCTGTGTTCTTCCTTTTGAATTTTACGGCTCATGTGGACACTTGACATCATTCGTTCCCCTTGCTTGCACCGGGCTCGACTGACCCGCCGTCTTGTTTGACTCTCTTGCTGTCAGTCTGATGCACGATGCATCCTCAAAGTACAGTTTTCATACCCGCTGGATGTTTGTCCGTCTCTCGAGATGAATGCTCTTTGACCCCGGAACTTTGGTCTCTCGATGAACTTGGGGATTGGAGGACCTTTGACCAGTTGCCGGATTCGCCATTCCATCTCGACCTTGACCCTCATCAACGATTCCTCCCTCAAAACGTGCAATCATCACTTCGGAAGTCGCGAAAGCTCGCACCATGCATGAAACTACTTGAAGCATCATGGATCAGGCTCGAATTCCTCGTCCCTCATCGGACTTCGGAGCGCGGCACCTTTCGGGTTTACCTCCTCCCAGATGATATCTTGCGCAGCACCGTGAAACGATCAGATGCCACATTGATCAAAGCAAGAAGAAAGATACTAGGCCAACTGGATTACTCTCAGGAAGCCTGGCAAGGCGATACCCAATGTCAGCGCGCCAACATGCCACGTCTGCATGAAGACACAAACCAAGGCGACGGATCTGACGAGGATGTGTCGCTGCTGCACTTATTCAACAACATACCATCCCCCAACCCCGACCCTGAGTCAATACTAGACCCTTACTCGAAATCTGCCATGTACGATCTGCTCCAGAGCCAAGTTCCCGGCCTCAAGTCTCAGCTCTACCCATACCAGAGAAGGTCGGCAGCGTTGATGTTACAAAAAGAAGTTCAGCCAGGGACCGTACTTGACCCACGTCTACTCCACGTCAAGGATCAAGAGAACAGAGAATGGTATTTGGACCCCGTCGCCGGCACAGTTCTCAAGGAGCCTCGTTACTATGATGGTGTGTCTGGTGGAATTCTAGCCGAAGAGATGGGCTCTGGCAAAACAATCATGACCTTCGCACTCATCCTCGCGACTCGATCGTTGCCTACTCACCCCCCAGAGCATTTCCGTGCCGGAGATTCCCCCGTGAGAAAACGCCTGGCTTCGCTGTCCGAGATGGCTGCTTCCTGCGCAACCCGAAACTCGGTACCATGGAGACCGTACTTTGACCTCTTCAAGGAACAGACTGGGGACGATTACGAACGCTGCATCGAGGCCCTGGAAGGAAACCCAGGCTATTACTATCTCCCACCGCCCGTTCCTCATTACGTCGGAAGGCGGTCTCGCCAGCGCATCGAACCGCCCAAGAAACTGTTGTATCTCAGCAACTGCAGCCTCGTTGTAGTGCCTGCTAATCTGGTCGAACAATGGGAGCAGGAGATCCGCAAGCATACAGAGGGCTTAAAAGTCCTCGTGGTAACAAAGGGCATCCAGCTACCGCCAACTAAAGACCTGTTAAAATACGACCTCATTCTTCTCTCCCAGACCCGTCTCGAAGCTCTAATCCGGCAGGGGGGCGGAAAACTGAGCGATTCTCCGCTGTCCAATATCCACTTCAAACGATGCATCTTTGATGAAGGGCACAAGCTTGGCAATTCATCGATCAGTAACCCAAGTAACCTGCTCACCAGTTTGGATTCCTTGCATTTCTCATCCCGCTGGGCTGTGACAGGAACACCATCACAAGGGTTATTCGGAGTCGATGCTCAGCAAACAGGGAACGGCACTACCACCCACCGTGACGATGATGCGAATGGCATTAATACGGCGAAGCCTATTACTGGGAGTAGCCTTGAAATGGAAAAAAGGGATTTGGAGAGAATCGGATCTCTTGCAGCTGTCTACTTGAAAGCTCGACCCTGGGCAAACAAGCTCGTGGATGTTGGAGATACCACGGCTGACCCAAAGGTGTATTTGATGCTGCCAAAGCACACGTCAGGTGGCCGTGGCCGCTCGGATTGTCTAGAATCGACCCTCAACTCTCTCATCATTCGACACCAGCTCGCGGAGGTAGGCGACCTTCTCCCACCTGTGAACCACAAGGTGATTGTCCTAGAAGGATCATACCAGGACCAACTATCTGTCAACGTCTTCTCCATGATGATCATTTTCAACTCAGTTCAGTCACAACGAACAGATAGGGATTACTTTTTCCACCAAAAGCAAAGGGACTCTCTAAATGACCTGGTTCGAAATCTGCAGCAAGCTTGTTTCTTTGGAGGCTCTTTCTTCTCAAAGGACATGATTTCAACGGCTGTCAATACCGCAGAGGAATTTCTTCGCAGCGAGAAGGTCCCTATTAGTGCTGAGGATCGGCACCTCCTGGAGCAAGCAATCAAAATTGGCTATGTGGCCATGGAAAATGAAGTGAGGACACTCAGTAACCGATTTCATGAACTGCCAGTCTGTGTCAATGGCTTTCCCCACAATCTCGGTGGTGCATGGTCCCTGGATGGCGCCTTGGGTGATGCCATGTGCAGTTCGTCAAGCATGCTCTTGGCACTTCAGAAGCTGATCTACAAGTCGGCCTCGAAACCTGAGGAACTTAACTCTTTGCTCAATGGTCGCTTAGTTCAGGAGGGCGTTGTCGAGAGGCATCGTGTGTTGGATGAGTCTTTCAAACAAGCCAGCGACAGGTCGCAAACCCTGGCTGGGAACACGAACCTGGGGAACGACAGTCACAAAGCCACGCAGACTCTTAAAGCCAACATTGTGAAGCCCGAAGAGGTGACAGCCGCAGAGGGTGCTCTTGGTCCACTAGAAGCAGCGAGGATCACATCAACCGCGTCGTCCAAGCTCTCCTACTTGATCGATGGCATCATCAAGTATCAGGAGGACGAAAAGATTGTCGTTTTCTATGAAAACGAAAACGCCGCTTGGTATCTCGCCAGCGTACTCGAAACTGTGAGCTTGAAGGGAATTACACTGAAGGCTTGCCACTGACAGTAAACAGCTCCAGATTCAGCACCTCATCTATGCTCGAGGGCTAACGAACAAGAGGAAGGGCCAATATGTCAAAACGTTCCTTGTAAATCCCGATTTCAGGTAACGCTCTTCACTCGCAGGCTGGGTATTATCTGCTAATGGTACCTCTAGGGTCCTTCTCATGGACATTACGCAAGCCGCCTTCGGTCTGGATATTAGAGTTGCCTCCAGGATTTACTTCATCAGCCCAGTTCTCAACCCTCAGGTCGAGGCGCAGGCAATTGGTCGAGCACGACGCATCAGCCAGCAGAAACCAGTCTCGGTGGAGACGCTGGTGCTGAGCAACAGTATCGAAGAGATCATCATTGAGCGGAAGCAACACATGACACAAGCTGAACATGATGCAGCCAAGACGATATTGCAGGTCGAACGAATCTACAATTGGATCAAGGACGCAAGAATCATCCCATTGCCCAATGACAAGACCAGCAAGGAAAGCCAGATGGCGCCTCTACATACGCCTCAATACGTGTTCGGAAGAGGCTTTGGCCGCACCATGCATCCAGACGACGGGTTGGTACTGGATGATTCTCCAACAAGGAAGAAGGATGGTGTGGGGGAGCCTCCCCAAATGACGAATGATTTGAAGCGAGCACACGAAGCAGGCCCAGGTGCAAATGGCCAAGGTGAAGGAAACGCGTCGTCATCCGATAAGCGAGATCTTGCTGCGCGTCCAGCAAGAAGGGTGCGGTTCACGGTTGAAGCAGACGAAGAGTGAAGGCAAGCCAAGTTGCTGCGACTGCAGCTTGCGCCACCAACCCCCGCGCCAAGTTGGAGATGGGTGGAAGCTAGGTTTCAGAACCAAGTTTACAAGTTGGAAGGACAACAGTGAAGGTGTTTGGAGCCGGGCGTCATAGACATAAGATACAAGGAAGGGAATTGGGATTTATCGAATTGGCTGGGATACTTTGAATAACAATTCCGCAGCCGGACTGGATCCTAGCAACCTAAAGCGTGGAACTTTCTGTGACGAACCAGAGATTTGCGATTTACTGGGGCGAGGAGATCAAAAGATGCCTTTTGATGTTTGCTATAGCGACGGCCTGGGGCATTGTCTACGTCAAGGCAGCCTTGCTGTTTGGTTTAAACAAAAGGGCTATTGTGAGGTGATAGCAAAAACAGGTGATGAGGGCAAAGGAACAGAGCGAGGCAGAGCCGAGCATTTGTCACGGCAGAAGTGAAGATTCGGTTATCCCGCCAGGATCGCTCTCATGACAACCCCCGCAGCGGATGCACAAAACAGGAGCCCATGTATGGGTACGGTGTGCAGTCAGAAGGATTCGAGTGCATCGGAGGTCAGTTGCGGTCTGGCCAAGACGGGAACAGCAGATGGCACGCACGCAGCAATAGCTCTGAGTAAGTTGACGACATGCCTTGCCAGCAAAGATGGCGAGGGATGGCTAGTCAGCCAGCACGGGGGCTACGTGGGTGCAATTTCGGAGGGTTTATGCCGTCAGCAGTTGGACAATATCGATTTTCCGATTCATTGCATTCTCGGTCAGCACGGGATGGCGATTGCTACTACTCTGAGTCCAGGGCCATGTTCCCGGCTTCCGCTAGACAGAGGGAAGGGAAGCAGACAAGACAAGGGAGTCTCCCGTGGCCTGCCCTGCTATGATCTTAGCAGCATGGCTGGGAACCCTGGCTCATTTGGGGCGAGCTAGGTTTGTCGCACAAGCAGATGAGGATGGTTGCCTGCTGTCAATCTGTCCCGCTCACTGGAACAGCAAGACGCGCCGACAAGGAGCTGGAGTTTGGTTGATCAACGTGATGCTAGCTAGCCGCTGCAGCGGCGCCCCCAAATGCTCCGACTGGGACACCCTGGGCGGGCCACGGACTCGAGGGAGAACGACAAGTGGATGATGAGAAGTGAGAACGATTCCACTGTGAGGGGTCGCGAAGACCCGCTGATTCAAAGGCGTGAGGCCATCAAGACTGGTCAGTGGTACAGTACAGGCAGGGATGCTGTTGTGCTCCTCAACAGGGTACTATTTTTGACCTTGAGCGGGTGGTTGGCGGTACATCGTCACCATCACGGCTCATGGTTTCACACATTGGATATCTCGAACCGTGGCGGGAAGATGGCGCAAGAAAGGGCGCCGCTAATGAGGCTCTAGTCGAGGGTTGGATCTGTCCTGGCGCTTGGAGGGAGAGGTCGTCTGTTACAGTCTAGGGCACTTCTCCTTATTGCTGACCTTCCCTGGCGTCAATGCTAACTCAAACCCCAGGTTTCCATGATGGAGCAAAATCCAAAACACAGCAAAAAGCAGGGAATGGTCATGGGTGACTTGGCCAAGGGGTGGGTCGTCATTGGCTCCGCCACGGTCGAGGATGAGGAAGAACAGTGGTTCTTGGGAGATGTTGCTGTTTCTGGACGCGAGCATGGCTCCTTCGGCTGTTGCTGTTGTTGTTTTGGCCATGGGAAGCATGATACTTAAGTTTGACGGATCCCGTTGGTCAGCTTGATTTCGACGCTTCACGACGTGTTTTCGACGCAACTATCACCACCATAACCAACTTGACAACCTGGAAATCAAGGCCTCGTGGCTCAGAGAGGCAAAAGGGGAAATCAACGACCAAGTGACAATTCGGTGCGGTACCTGCTCGACGCTTGCCATGCATGTCTGAGTTTTTTTGTCCCGACGGCGCCGCAATTGATGCAGAGGCGTTTTATTGTGTGTGCTCTCCCGACCGCTCTCCCTGATTTCTTGCTGGTCGATCGATTTATTCCCTTGTTCTTTTCTTATTTCAAGCCGTCTTCCCCTCTTCTGAGCTCCCGAGAGCCTCATTGTCCTACTCTCGTTTCATTATCCTCGAGGTTTACGAGCTTGTTCAGACGTTGATACGCCGCCTTCTGAGAGGGCTGAATGCAGACACCCATACGAACTCACATCTAAGCGCCATTGGAACATATACGATCAAGCACCCTGTCATATTGAGTTGACGTTCCGTTCCGTTCGCCGATCTTACCGTACAAACTCCACCAGCCAGCCGGAGCCTTCTTGGCCTGGCATCACCAAGACCCGACCGCCATGTTCGAGGTTCCGCACAACCACCATGGCAAAGACTTTAAGCGCTTCTTCTCGCCTGGGCGCAGCTCAATGTCGGCCATTGAGGATAAGAGGGCCGACGAGTTCCGCAAGCACGTGTGGGCCGTCACCATGATTGACGAAGATCCCTTGTCGGGTAAGATGAATCGACACTCGACTGACCTTGTGTGAGTCTTGATCTTTTTTCTTTGGTTTCTTTTCTTTTCTTCGTTGGAGATCAGGACCGAACCCCTTTCCCGCGCCGTGCAGTGCAGTAGTTTGGCCCCAGAAGAGGTGGCCCGTTAGGCCGTCTCTCTCTATATGCGGGCGGCTGCAAGACAGACAGCGCCTCAATCCTACCAGCATCTGGCCATTACCCATTTTTCGGTATCCAGCGGCAGTGGCAGTGGTGGTTTGAGCAGTGTATGCTTATGTCTTTCTTGCACTGAACCCCCTGAGCCAGCCTGGAGGATGAGCTGCTACCAGTTGCTGGGCCAGACAAAGCTGCCAAGCCAGAGCAACTACTAGTTGATGAACAAGGAGACGCCTCCATCATGTCTCTCCTCGTTCCGTCTACCGAGCACCGGAAGTGTCTCACGGGCTGCACATGTTGCCCCAGCGCTCTGGGCTTGGCTGCCGCCAACACCATGGACGGGACTAGCGCTCAACTCGAAGACCTTGGTTTGATTACCTGTCCACAATTTCCCCTTGGTGGCGTCCCCAGGTGCCTGGCAGCCTCGCGCTACGCGGAGCCAAGAGATCACCCAGGCTGGTTCACATACGTCAGAACTGTTCTAGACGGATGGACTTGAAGCCGAGTGTGCCTAGCCCGCGCCTGCGCCTGTCTGTGCTTTGAGCTGAGGAGCCTTTCATGGATGCATTGGAGAGTTTTCATTATGTATACTTGCCTTTTTTTCTCCCGCAGTTGTAGAACTTTGTGTGCCTTTTCTTCTTTTTCTTCTTCTCTTCCTTCAAGCTGACATTGGTGTATCAGTCGTCCTGGACCCAACAAACTTAGGTCCAAGAGAGCATCTGCCTACGCTGGACCACCACCGGTAAAGCGAGGTAATGACAGAAAGTCCAAGGAAAAGTCGAAATCAGCAGATCTCACCATGCGAGAGCCTACGATTGCAATTCAGCCAATGCACCCTCCATCCTTCAAGTCACCGACGGACCTGTACCCGGTAAAGGAGAACACCATGGACGATTTCTTCGCCAATGAGTCCAAGGACAACTTGCCTCGCACCTCATACCCGATACGTCCAACCTATGCTGTCTTGGAGACACCATTAGCCGACCCTACAAGGAGCAGTGATGGTCTTCCTGGTGTCAAGCTCAACCGGCCTCGAAAGCTCAGCAACAACTCGATGACCACCATGTCTTCTCTTCAGAGCCGGGAAAGCATGAGCACAAGACGGACTCCATCCTGGGGAAGCAGGACCAGCGTTGACACTTCGGATTCCATGTCCCACTGGCGGCCTGATTACATGTATCAACGACCCATGCCCATCAAGAAACAAGCACCCGTCCGAGACCCATTCAAGCCGAACGAGCTCTTTTCGATGATGCCTGTCGAGGTGCTCTCTGTCATTCTGGAGAAGCTGAGGGAACTTCATGTCGGATACAAGAGCGGGAGTTGTGCAACTTGTTGGATGCGAGACGTTTGCAACATGTGCGTCGTCTCTCGCAAGTGGTACGGTCCCGCCCAAGAAGCCCTGTAAGTTTTTTTTTTACTTACTCATGATCGGAATACGATCGCCAGAGATGCCGGGTGGCGTCAAGCTAACAAATTCCCGTCTGGTTCAGGTACGAAGACATTCAGCTGGTTGGCCCAGACTCGGCCGCCCACAAAAAGAAGTTTAAGCTGTCTCAGGGCGCCCGAGTCATGATGCTCCGGCGCCTGCTACGCGCCAAACCCCGGATCGCCGCAATCGTCCGCCGGCTCAAGGTTCCGGCCCCCGAGCCGCTTCCGGGCAAGGGGTCCACCGTTGCCGACTACGACAACCCCGTCGCCTCTCTTGTCATGGCCTGTCCCAATCTCGAGAGCCTCTCTGGTCTGTCGACCACCTACGATCACTCGTTCAAGAAGATCTTTCATGCACTATCGACGAGGTCAAACCTGAAGGAGATGAACTGGTTGATCCAACCATCGCCGCTTCAGAAGCAGCAGAGGATCCAGTCGAGCACGCAGCAGCTGGGTCTGGTTATGCCCGGGGAGCTCAAGCCGTTCCAGGAGGCCGCCTTCTTGAGCCATCATGACAACTGGTCCCAGCTCGAGACCCTCACCATCCATTGTCTCCCTGGAGCGACTCTAACGCCTGAAAGCCTCCTCACATCGACTCTCAGCTACCTCCCAAAACTCAAGCACCTCCACCTGTGCAACCTCCCTCCCAACAGTTTCAACGACGCTGCTCTCCTCGCCCTCCCGCCGCTAAAATCCTTGACTCTCTCTCACATTAGCGGCATCTCCTCCAGCGGCCTCTCTGCCTTTGCAACTCACACCTCGAGTGCGCCCTTGCGCAAGTTGACCCTGCGCCATACACCCCTCACCTCCCTGGCCGCTCTCGCACGAATTCTCTCCAATCTGAGGTCACTCATCACCTTCTCCCTCGTCCAGGCCTTCCCGCCCGTCATGCCTGAAGACGACACTTTTTCCCTATGGATGATGCCTTACCTCGCATCCAGCAGCGTCAAGAAGCTGCATTGGGACATCACAAGCCACGCCTCGTGCGTCAACGCCGCCGACGACATCCTCGCACGGAGCATCGCGGCTGGAGGCTTCCCCGCGTTGAGGGCCCTCCGCGTGCTCAACGACCCAGACGGCATCTTCCAGGAGCTGTGCTACCCCGTTGAGAGGATCGACCTCCATACAGATCGATTCCGAACTACGGAGCAACCTAACGATGTGGCCCCAAGCTCCAACACCAGCCCCATGTCACCGACACGTCTCTTCAAGTCTTCCAGCAGCTCCTCCCTCCCTTCACCACGAACCCCAATGTCCTTCTTTGGCGATTTGCGCCACGCCCCCTACACCAGCCTCCACACGGCGCGCCTCGCCGCTCAGGCCCGTCTCGAGGCGGCCCGTTCCCGCCCCCGCTTCACCGTCAACGTGGTCGACGAGGACGGCACGACAACCGAGACATTTGCCATGGCCGGCTTCATCGGCACTCCAGGCAGTGTCATCCGCTATTACCTCATCTCGGATCCGGGCACGACAGACGACAAGGGCGGTCTAGTCGATGTGCGTGACCTGGACGGCGATGGCGGTGAGAGTCTTGCTGGAGGTCGTGAAGGATGTATGGGGCGCTGGAATATGCGCGACGGTGTCGTAGCAGACAGAAAAGAGAAGGAGAGGTGGTGGCACACTGAGAGAGGCCGCTGGACAAAGGTATCTCTATCATCATGAACGATTCTTGTCTTCTCTATGGCGTTTTTTCGGAACATTGGGATAATTGATAATGCAAGACTGGGCTCTCGCATCGGCAAGCATGGTAATGATATCACGGCCAATACATATAAACGGGTCTTGAGGAAATCTCTATGAATAGGTACTAGGCATTTTGATTTGGAGTTTAGAAATTTAGGTAATCGGGGCAGGGCATGAAAATTTGGTAACTTCTGGGATAAGGTAAAAGACTGAATGTAAATCCTGCGTGACTCGATAGGAGTCGATGAAAAAGATATCATGACAACTCTTAGTACTATCCCCATGACATCTTCCGGAGGCCAGATACAGTTGTCTTCAAACGGTGCAAATATAACGATAAACACATGATATTCACGGTCATGATATCCTAGGTAAACACCATAGCAACCTCTTCCAAGAATTATATCCCAGTGTACCCAGGTATACAGTATAGACATACATACACACCAAACTCCACGCTACATACAACGGAACTCGGTTCAAAAACAATTAAACATTTTTTTTTATCCATCCAATTATGTGGACATGGCTCTCTATCAACTCTAAAAGTATTCCTTTCCGACTACATCTGTGTAGATTTTCTCATGCTAAGTCGTTAAAATGTTTTGTTCTCTGCGCGCCCAAGGTCTCCTGTCCAAAAATATCTGCGTGCATGTGTGTGTGTGTGTGTGTGTGTGTGTGCGTGCGCGTACGTATATGGTAAAAAAAAAAAAGCAGACAACACCTTTGAAAAAAAAAAAAAAGAGAGAAAAAGACAGCCTTATCCAACATGTACCTAGCCAACCAGCTCTCATCAGAATAGAAGAAGAAAACGAGCTCGAGGCCCAAATTATGGTTGCAATGGTAGAAGAGTAGCAGCACTCCAGTGCCGTCAAGGTAAAAAAAAAAAAAAAGAGACGCAAGAAAAATGAAGTCCGAGACCTAACCCCCAGCATGTACAAAACATTGGGAACTCCGTTGACCTTTTTGGGAGCTCCCAGAGAGAGGAAATGGCAGGTAGTCCATTGTTGATTTAGAAAAATCCCTTCTTCTTCTTTGGCTTCTTGCCTTCGTTACCCAAGATGTCGTCAAAGGTGGCTCCAGATGGTTCCGGAGGAGGAGACTCCTGTTGGGAGCCATGAGCGTTACCCAAGGCGGTCAGGTTGCCGACAGACTGGCTTCTTGAGCCGAGCATGACACTGGCAGGTCGTCCTCCCAGGGAGCTACTACGCTCTCCAAAGGGGCTCGGGGGCTGGAGAGGCACCGGCTCAAGACCAAGGGCAATGCTGGATCGCCAGGCCTGGTTGGCTCGGCTTCCGCTTGGGGAGTGTGTTCGGGGTCGCAAGGCAGCCTGAGGGCTACCCATGGGCGAGGGAGGAGTGTTCAGTCCGCCAAAAGATGGGGGCGGGGTGGGAACAAAGTCATCGCCGTCCAAGAACATGGAGCGAGGAGGCTCGAGCGGTGACAGAGGCGGTTCCGTGGCCTGTACAGGAAGCGCTGAACCGCCGTTCTCATCCCACTGCGCAGCAGCAAGCCAGCAGTGACTTCGGTGGTAGGTGGCTTCCACACTAAAGAGGACCGCGTCGGTAGACAACTCCACCAGGCCACCTCCTCCAGCCACCTCATACCACATCTTCTTGACCTGCTGGTCTCCAATCCACGGGGGGTTACCCATGGGAGGCTCGCAAAGGAAGTACTCAACCCCCTCGGTAAACTGCATGCCTGGGGCGTCCACCACAAGGACAGGCAGCGACTGAATCACCGTATAGAGGAAGAGCCAGTAGCCAATGCGTTGATCAGCAAAGTCCAGTGGCGTCTTACCTCGGGCCTCTCGCAACTCAAATTCCTTGAACTTGTCCAGGAAGGGGACCTTGATGCTGTTGGTATCGTAGTTGTACGCCTTGTTGAGGATGAGGATGAGCTCGTGCTCCTTGATGTTCTTGTCGAATTTGGCCTGCTTCTTGGGAGGAAGCGTGTCATACGTCTCCAGAATCGATGTGGCCACGGGCAGCTGGGGGCAGTCGTAAGGAACGGGCGGGAGGACGGGTGGCTTTGAGCGATCAAACTCAGACATGATGTTTCGAAGAGCCGACATGATCATCTTGTCAGTCTCTTCAGAAAGAGCCGGCACCTCGTCCATGACTCTGGAGGTGCGGTTGGTTCGGTCCACAATCAGGTCATACAACGCACACATATCCGAGTACAGGACCTTGAGGACCAGTCTGTTCAGTCCGCTTTCGGCGAACGGGTTCTTCTTGCTGCTGGCCTTGGGGGGCCAGTTACCAAACGTGTGTTTGTAGTAGCTCATGACAAAGTGTCGCATCTTGCTGAAAGAGTTCTTCCACACCTTGAAGCGCACATGTCTGAGTTCCGCCATCGAGGTCGAGTTGGCAATGCCAGAAAAGATGGCCGGGAAGTCAAAGTTTTCCAGGTGCTGGTTGGCGTTGTGCTGTCGGTTGAGCAAGTCCAGATGGGCACGTTCGAGGCTCACGCGAGTCTTGGGCGAAACCTGCTCGAACAGGGGCAGTCGGAGCTCCATAATAGCAGCGTACTTCCCTGCAGCATGAGCAAATGCTTCATTGTAAAGGTCTGAAGATCGCATGCGCTCGCCGAGAATCAATGCCTCCAGTGTCTTTTCCCTGCTGTGTCTGCAGTCCGCAAGAGCGTGCTGGTCCATGTAGAAGCCGAAGCTGAGGTCGACCGCATCTCCAAAAGTGGCGCCATCGAAGCTCACGAAGCCAAACTCCTCCAGGAGCGCGGCGATCTGAAGAAAGGCGTGGAAGTTGGTAGGTCGCGTCTTGGTTGCTACCAGAGGCTGTCCGGTCAAGAAAGCGAACAAATTTCGGATACCGATCAGCCGGTCGAGGTCCGGCTGCGCACCGGGGACAGGCGCCGCGAGCTGCCCGGAGCTAGACGGGGCGGTAGGCAGATAAAGGCGAAGGTCATCGGATCCATCGTCAGGGATGGGCGGCGAGTTTGGCGGGGAGAGGTATCGGGCCGCGTCTTCGGCAGTCAAGCTATCACGCCCACCAAAGCTCCTAGCTCGGCTTCGACCGGCGGGCGCTTCTCGCTCTGTCTGAATGAGTTCATTAAAGATGTAGGACGAGCTGATGGTGAATTCCTGGACCTTGAACGCCGGTCCGTGGCCGCTGTCCTTGGGGTACAGGTAAACGAGCACAGCTCCGCTCTCGTTCCAGAGCTCGGGGACCTGGTGGAAACAATTATTAACTCTGAAACTCAGGTGCAACAGGGGACGATGCCACCTACCTTTTCTCCGTTCTTGAGCAACGAGACATTGTACTCGGCTCGTGTGTCGTCAGACAGGACCCAGGCGCTCGATTCGTTTGCGTTGGAAACTTCGACAGAGTTTGAGCGGGATCTTCCGCCGCCGGGCAGCCAACTTCGGCGAAGACGACCCCGGGTCGGGCTCTGGCTAACATCGCCCTTGGATGAGCTGGGTCGGATGGAAAGCGGCGTCGAGACAACGCGGCTCTTGCTGTTGCTGTTGCGCACGGTGGGGGACTGAACAGATGATGATCGACGGCCACGATCGGGACCAGGTGATGTTGTCCGCGTCTTAAGGCCCTGCACGGGAGGCTCGCCGCCATTCGCAATGTGCTGGAGGGAGCCGCTCCTTCGCCGAGCGTCGGGGTTCTCCTTGCGCAGCTTTCCACTGTGCTCCACGGGAGCCGTCGGAGGAGGGGGAGGGGGGACCATGGGTTCCTGAGGAGTCAGAACAGCCCGTTGCATCTCAGGTGATGGCGGGATCGGGGCCATGATCTGGGGGTTGGGGCTTGGCTGAGGCATCTCGAGACTGTCGCTCCCACGTGTAGGAATTGAGACTTCGCTGGGCGGGGAACCACCAAACCCAGTAAGGTTCAGATCCTGGGTAGTGATGGCCAAGCCTGGGCGATGGTCTTCGGGCATGTGGGCCTTGGGCTCGACGATGCTCGGGGTGCTGGACGATGGACTGTAGTCAAGGGTTGTGGGAGCCGTTGCGGCCGTTGTCACCGTGTTAGTGGTGGTGGAGGTGTTGGTGGGAGAGGAAGATTTGGTGGGTGCAGGAGAGGGTGCGGCAACGGGAGCGGGAGCCGTGGCGGTTGCAACGGCCGCAGGTACGGAGTGCGTTGGCACTGGCACGGGTGGTGGTTGTGCTTCAGGTTGTGGAGGTGCCGCAGCTGGTGCTGTTGTTGGCGGTGCAGGTGGTGCCGTTGTTGGCGCTGGCACAGGCGGTGGTGGTGGTGCTTGCTTGGCTGGCATCTTTTTGGGCGAAGCCGGTGAGGATTCCGAAGGCAGCGTGATTAAGGGGAGAAGCGATGAGAGACGGAATCTAGATTTTCGGTTTGACTGCTTGGCAGGTGGTAGGTTGGTTGTGGACTGAGACTTGGGCAGAGTTGCAGACTTGTTGGAGTTCCCGCCGCTGCTGCGCTTGGTGAGGGTCTTGGGCCGTTCGGGTGAGCGAGTGTGAGCTTGAGCGTTGGAGGTGCTCTCTTTGTCGTGTCGTACGGCGTCCTGCTTGTCGGAATTGGGTGCAGAACCGGGATTGGAGCTATTGTCTCGCAGCTGGGAAAGGTCGACGGTATTCGACTTGTGCCAGGTTTTCTTGCGGGGATCGTGGGATGTCGAAGTCGAAGTTCCAGCGGTGGAAGAGGCCGAGGACGAAGGAGTCGACGACTCAGGATCAGTGTTGGACCGCAGCATGGAGAAGGACGCAGGTATGATGGAGGCCCGGAAGGACTTGCTCGACGTCATGCTGGGCATTATGAGCGGCCAGCAAACGCCAGCGTTACATGCAGCAGCGAGATGCTGCTACTAAGAATGGAACTGGTAAAGCTGGGGGAGTGGCGAGGTACGGTAACGGCGTAGTCGGTCGAAAACGAACGAGGGAGGACCTGAAGGGGGGGGAGAGGGAGAGGGTTTGGCGGGTCGCGGCCAGGCTAGAATATGTAGGTATGGGATGTCCGCAGCCTTGGCCGAAGAGAGAGCGCAGGAAGCAGCAGTTTTGGAAAAAGGAATCAGCAGAAACAGGCAGGCTCTCGTTCTTTTCTGCCGGGCCAGCTGGAGACTGAGAGGGCTGCTGCACGAATGAATACTACTTGCTAGGCACGCCCAGGGCACACAGTATTTTAGTCTGTGGCTGCGTGTCAGATCTAGGACGGGTCTTCCCTGCGCCAGGACAAGCCCCAGAGATGGGGTCCTTGGAGGAGCCCCCGAGAGCGAGAGGACCCATAGACGAGCCAGAAAGCTCGACTCTGGATGGCTGTCAGTCTGGATCCAGGGAGTACTCGCAAGGTACTTCGTATGCTACTTTTGGGGCGACAGACGCCGCCGGTCGTCTCTGGATCAACGGGTTCGGGGGCTCGGGAGCGGGTGGAGACGCGATGACGTTGGCTGGGCCCAGCGTGAGTGGATGAAGTTTCTGTCTAGGTCTCTTTTTTTTTTCTTCGTCCCTCGTTCGCTGCTACGTAAGTTGAGGTATAGTCTCCTGAGCTTGGGACAAGGGGTGTGTAATATGTTCCCTTGTGCCGGAATTAAAGAGAGGGCATGAAAAGAAAGAAAGAAAGAAAGAAAGAAAAATAACAGAAACAAGATACTACAAGAGAGAGTGCAGGCGCCCGTCAAGATGCAGACGTCCATCCGTGTATCCAGACAGTGCGTGGACACTTTACTTGTGCCAGTGTCTGTCTCTGATGCTGTCTCGCCCAGCCCCAGCCGGGCTCGTGCTCGTGCTCAGCGCCTTGCTGCTCGTGTCGCAGGTACGCAACACGGAGCCGTGGGATTGGAGACGAGGCATAACAGGCGGGTCCCTTCTGGCGGCGTTGTCCTTAGGGTCTGGGCTTTGGGCTCTTGTCCTCCTCTCCTCTCTCTCGCGAGACGGCGGAGTGAGTTGAGGGTGATGAGAAGTGGAGTACCTCACAAGAGACAGGTCCCGGATGAGTGAGACCGGTTGTAGGAGAATTAAGTAAGGGAGCCCGCCTAATAACAGGTCACAACGAGAAGCCTCATCCAATATCGGCAAGGAAACAAGCAATAATAAAATCCCGTCATGGCTGAAAAAGCAACGGGGTGCGAGAGGAGAGGAGAGGAGAAGCCAAGATGATCTCAGGGTTTGCCATCCTTGGTTCCTTGGTCCAAAATCCCAAAACATCGTTGTCTGGGGTGTGTTTTCGTATTCCAGCGATGGAATGGATCTGTTGGAATCTATGATGTGCAGTCACTAGTCCCCTTTTCTCTTCTCCATGTTTTGTCACGAACGTATGGATATGGATGCTTTCTGCTTGCTCCCGTATATCCAGCAGCATGACAAACACCTGACTCTTGCTCCCGCACCATTGACCGTTGTGGCAGGTACAAAGTAACACTGGGCTCCAGCTGAGAGTGAGGGACTCGTCAGGGCCAAATCTCGTCCACTGCTCGTTCAATGCTGTTTTCCGGGGTGGCTTTGGGCAACCGCTGGGATCTCCCACCAGGGATTGTTGAGTATTACAGTACAGTACAACACAGTAAGAAAAAGGTCATCCTCCTTTCCTTAACCCCTGGACATGGAAACCCGGGGATGACCAAGAGGCCGAGCGAGGATGGGGTCCTTTTGAGAGACAGAGGGGGAATATGCAATTGGGGACGGCGATGGCGAGAGTGCGCGGAAAGTGACAGCGCGGGATTGAGCCTCATGGGGGGAACAAGGCGTGAATTGGACCTATGAATGAGAATTGCAAAATGCGACCTGAGGGTGACCCTTTTTCTGACTGAACGTTCGGTGGTACTCGCTCGGTACCAGAGCCCAGTCCCGACGTGGAAGAGCCGGTCAGGTACCTGAGGGTGACTTGCAGCCCAGCCCAGCCAGCCCACGCCGGAGAGCGCGTGCTGTTGTGTTGCATGGCTGTAGGGTCCTGATCTGTCTCCTGTGCCTTTTCCTGTGCCAGGCTGAGTTGGATGAGACGGCATTGGCCTCTTGCGTGCGTGCGAAGCGCCTGTTTTGTTGGTAGCCCAAGTATTGGCATCGACACCACCAAGCTAGGGCGGCGCCGCCAGGGATCAGGGACATCCGGGTCAGTGAGAGCCAACCGTCAACCCCACGGTGTCCCTGCCGCACACAGTGCTTGGTCGTTTCGTGGTTTCAGCTTTCCTTTGGGCGACGCGGCGGCCAAGAAGGCCTAACAACCGAAAACGACAGTGACAGTACATACAGCATGGACGTTGCTAGGGCGTGCGTATGGGAGAGAGAGAAAGAAGCTTCTAGGGAAAAAACAAGATTATCAGTTGTCAATCAATCAATCATCCACTAGCTCCCCCTCAATAGCATGCAGTCTTGGTGCATTCAGCTCACCACCTCCTCTGACGCGGATGATACCCTTCCAAAACTAATTAGTCGAGCTGCCTCCCGAAATCCACGCGGCCTTGGCTTCCATCGTTGCCGGTGCCGTTGTTGTCGTCGTCGTCGTCGTCAACGTTAAAGGCGTCGTCAACGGCCGGCCAACGGGCATCAATTCTCACCCGAAACTTACGGCAGCTGCACGGCGCAGTAAGGCGGGCTGGGGGCTGGCTGGTAATGTAGGCAGCATCATCGTCATGGTCAATACTCACCACCGGACTCGTGCCATGATAGCGTGCTGTATCACGGAATCATCATCTTGGTCACCACCATCATCAGCAGCATCGCCCATCGTCATCCCTCAATGGGATCTCGTCGACATGTTTTGTTCTAGATGTCATCACAGTCAGCCAGCGCCCGCCCGCAGCATCGCCCCCTTTCCTGTTTTTGGTGCTATTTTGCTTGCTTTCAGCCCTCTCTGGCCGTGGGCGCTTGGCTGCCGCTGAGCACATTTGCCGTCGTAAGATCTGCGAGCCGAGTTGCGTTTTCCGGAGTTACGGTACCTCCTGAACGGCGTTGGCTTTGTCTCGTCCGGTACAAATTGATCGACCCTTCTCCTTGATCCAACGGCCATGGGGATACGCGCAGAGTACGAGATTCAACGTCGTATTGCAGTTTTCTCGTCGCGGCACCTGATGGTGAAATTCGGAGCTATTTGTTAGTGATGTGCAGACCAAAAATCACCTCGTGAGGTGTTGCAGTTCGTACTCGACTCGTACTTTGCAGTCTAACCCACTCGGCCGACTCGTGTGTACTGTAGCGTCGGCCAAAGTACACATGTACGAGTGGCGACAGAGAGAGGACGGTGAACCAAGAGCGGGAAAGGTCTGGATTTTAAGAGCTTGTAGCTGTCGTATCACCTCAGGATGCAAACGCCCATGTACGATAACTGCAACCCCCGGCCAGCCGCGTTGATGAGGTATCCGGTGCTTCATGACGATGGAGGTCCGGTACATACGTAAGGGACGGCACCGACCACGGCGTCCCGCTCGTCGGAGAACGACGCCTCATCTCTTGCGGTAAACGTCTTGGCGACGGGTCTATTAAAAGGGTTCCGTCCCTCCCAACCCGACTTCTCACCCATGACGACCCGCACCAGATCTGCGCTTGCATCATGACGGTGCCCCCTAGACCTATAGACCCTGGCATGAGCAGCCCAGGAATTGTGGCTCCGTCGGCTTGTTTCGAGGGGCTGAGCAGCAGCCGAAATTGGCCCTGCACATCAGAAGCTCTTGGCCCTGTCGACGACGGGGGACGGGGCACACCAGCACCCGCGGGCTGTGTGATCCCACGCTGGTGCCGTTTTTAGAATGTTCCGGAAAATCGAGCCACCCGGCCCCTGTCCAGAGCCTTGTCCTGTCCTTTCATGTTCCTCCGCTCGTCTTGTGGGCTTTGCTGTCGTTCCCCGTCCAGTCCTATTCCTCCTACTCCTGAAACGAGAGCCACTGTGAAGAGTCCTACTTCCACCAACTAGAACAACTTCATATAGCTTTCGGTTCGAGAGATTTGGTTTGTATAGGTCAAAGACTTGCACTTAAAAGTCCTGGCATTGACTCAACCGCTGTTGTCGCAACTTTGCAAGGTGCTGACCATCAGGCATTTGCATAATGAGACATAGGAGAGACGCACCGTCTCAGTGACACTCATGCAACGTGCTCTTTCTTGCCTCGGACAAATGAGTTTCTGATTGATAAAAATGCCGCTGAATAATCAACCAAGCAGTGTCCTAGCTGAAAGGTCGACAATTGTTTGCTCTTAGTCGGGTATGTCTGCATAGACAGCGCACCACGTGACACATAACTTCCTGTTTCAATCTCACCGAGCACAATCCTCTTCCCCGTCTCATTGGACATGGACTCTGCATGTTCCACTTTTATCGGGCTGATGAAGCATCTTTTGAGTGACCAAGAAGCAAAGAACTCAATGAACCGAGTTGCTTTCCATTCAATCTTTGTTTGATTTGGCTCAACCTTTCTGTAATCACCAACAGACGCATGTTCAATGGCTAACATCAACCCCGCCAGCGTCTCAGTTATTGATGATGACCTGGAGACATGGCTTGACGTCGAGGGTCTCTGCGAAGACCTTTCGGACGACCCCGGACAAAACGCTACCACGGCACAATATGATATCAGCTCGACTTTGGCTAGCGTACAGACGCCCCTGGAAAATAATCCACTGAATGAAGCGCGACCCGGCGGTCAAGAAAACAAAGCATGCCCGAAATCGCGACGGAAGACCAGCTCCCAAACCATCCCGTCTGCCAGCTACTCTGTCATTTGCTTCCCTTCAAATCCCGCCAAACCAGATGGCGTCAAGAAAAAGAGAAAGGATTTTAACGAAAAGAGGAGACTCGAGGTTGCCCAAGTCCGCAAGACTGGTGCTTGTTTCCGATGCAAAGTGCGAAGAATCTCGGTACGTGCTCCCTCACTTACACGCGAGTATCCTCCACAAGATGGGGTTTTGTATGAGTAGATGATTGACCTAGCCCACCTACAGTGCGGTGTCGGGGAACCATGCCAGGCATGCAAGAAAGCTGCTGGTTCTCTTGGACTCCAGCTATGCATCCGGGAGAGATTAACGAAGATGAGGTTCAGTTCAGGTGGTTAGTTCGCCCGCGTGGAAGCTTTCCGGCCTAGACTGACATCTTAGACCTTCACTACATCGATTACACGGCGCGCTTGCTCGACCAAGAACTCATCGCCGGGACGACCCACCTCGGTCCGCCTCGCAAAGTCTCTATATCCATGGACTACGTCGACAACCCAGCCTTGGAGGTTGAAGTTCAGGATTACTATGGCAATAAGACGCCGCCTTGGTTGTGTTGTTGGGTTGTCATGAATCAGGTTGACGGTCATATCGAGTTGCATCGGGAGGAGAGTGCACGATATGCTCTTCCACAACTTCTTCCGTCGAGTGACCTGGTCGACTGGGTCGAGAATATCATCGTTCACCAGGATACCCGGTGCATCGGCTTCCAGCAAGCCGTAGATGCCTTCATCATGAGGTATAGCAAGTCGAGTGCATCTCTTCCGATGGTGAGTATCTTGGCCTATAGTTGGATTACATGCGTTCTGACAACTTATAGCATGACTTTGTGCGAAAAGTCCACAAACTCAACTGCTTAACCAAGATACGACTAGGGCTGGTCCTCTGTGTTGAAGAGGATGGCAAGACTACACCACCCTCTTGCGCTCTGCATACTCAATTCGGTCAGATATCCAAGGCTGCCTCGCAACCAATCGAAAAGGAGGTCCTGTCCGAGTTGGAGAAACTCATGTTTGGCACCGCTGGTATCGGCCCTGACAACGCCATAGCTCTGTGGGCCAGTCTGTGGTGCTTGATTCTCATGTACAGGAAACTGGTCCGGTCCTATATCGCCTTCCAGCAGTTCCCATGCCATGTCCCCGAGGACTACAGCGGCTTTCCGGAGTGCAAGCTGGAAGTGGGCACACATTTCTACCACTACCTTGTCTCAATCTATGCCGCCCTGTTTCGTGTCACAAGCCCGCTGTACACGGACTTCAGGGTTGCAGCCACACGGAAGCTACTAGACGAGGATGAGTCCCTTGTAAGGGCCTTTATGAATTTGCGAACTGAGAGCTTTTACTTTCGTAAGCATATCCTGGGACCTTTGGGACTATCAACTGACCTAGCCGCAGAAAGAGAGTCATCTTCCATGACAACGCCTCAAGACCAGCTGTTACGGCGTATGATCTTGGATCGAGAGGCGGGACTAAAGCCAAAGCAGCTTCCTATTACGTGATTTCAAACATTGCAGCATTCATCAGAGTAGTGGAGTTTCATTTGTCTTCTACTTTGACGGCCAGTTTGCCCCCGTATTCTCAACAAACTGCCCATAGGGGCAGCCCGCCGTGGTAGAGTAAGACCTGTTTCTTGAACGGGCACATCATCGCATAGCATGTTCAGGATCTCCCACGTCCAGTCACTGGTCTGTACGACCTTTACCACTTGGAAGTTAGAAAACAATCAAAGGATGAGGTCAGTGCAAAAGGTGAAGGGGGCTCGACAAATTCCCATTGGCTCCCCTTACTAAATAATTTATAGTGATGCAACGGCAATTTACTTGTTTCGCTCCTTTTTATGGTTAAAAAACGACATGTAGGGAGTTTTCTAGGAGTTATGATATCCTTCGTTGGGTCTTTCATACATGTTCGCTCAGAGGTCGTTTGTTTGGTGTCTCAGGCAAAGGTGGGAATAGTTACGAAACGGGTGTCGCATAAACATGAACACATATTTGACAATGTATTTATCACTTCGATAACACAGTGAAAAAAAATCGCAATTCATTGTATCAAATGGACCGTATATCATGTCAGGGGTAGCAGGAGATTAATTGCAGGCAATATTGACGGATCTGATGTTTTACCCTATACCAACGCGATCGACAAACAAGGCCCCTTTTTTGCCAAGTGAAACCCCCAGGGACTAGAAAGAAAACGCAAGGAAAAAAGTCAATTGGCAGTAGTCAAACTGATAGAGTGGCGGTGGTTTTTGTTGATATGCTTATCAGTTTCCAATTCTGACCAGGGGGTGGTTAAACGTTGACCACGACACGTGAGCTCAACGGCTACGGGTGCGCTAGCGATTTTAGGTTGACACCCGAGTTCAAAAAATCGCTCTTGGAATTTGGGGCATGGAATGGACGGTATGAGGATTCGGAAAAGTAAAAAAAGAGAAAGTGGCGACCTGGCTGGGTATTGGTTGAGCTTAATTGATATAGTCAGGGGTTGATCGAGAATGCCCCACATGAGGCTATTCGCACTTTGACTACGGGCGAGAGACGGGCATTGTCACCAAAGGAATGGTTGGAGTGATGACAACCAGCTTCAGTTCCCGGGCTTTTTGGAAGTAGCTGATGTGATAAAGAGACAGAAATGACAGTCAATGAGAGACAATGGATGAGTTAAAGAGAGATATGTAGAGTTGCTCAGAAGGACGGTAGAGGAGCATATGGGGGAGACGGTTCACCAACAACACCAAGACTCTCATTTTGAATATCGGGCATCTACTAGGTCAATCCAACTGTAAACTAGCGTCAGGAACCCTATACCATCCATTGGAAGTAGAATCCCCGTGGTTGACGGCAGATCCAACCTCGAGCTCATGTTGATGAAGAGATGAAGTTGCTTCAAACCACCAAGCTTTACCAACCCATTGGCCCCCGACTGGAAAACCGGGGCACGCCCCATGCTCTGGCCAATCCCAGCCGGCAGAGGTTGCAATTCTCGGTGAGTGCAGGGATGTTTCTTGGCCCAGATTAATGGGATCGCGCGGCGGGGTGGCCAATCAGACGGCGGGCCGGCGCAAGCGTGTAAGTGAGCGAGTCCACCATGAGGACCATGAGGCTCGATGAAAGGCCGAATTATAACTCTTCTGGTGCCGGGACGTGTGTGTCTCTGAACCGCTCAGATCTTGCACAAGCATCAGGCACATTTGGAACTTTTTGCCCGACCCCTTATCGTCTTCTGACATAGTTGCTGCAAGCTTCAATTCGTCCAAGCATAGGAAGCCAAGGTTCCACCAGAAGGCAGAAGGCAGCGCATCAACAACACACAGCACACACCCCCCCCCTTCCTCGTGACCTGACTTACATCCGAAGGGGACGTCTCGAGCATGGATAAAAGGGCTGTTGCCAGGGACTTTTCCCAGATGGGTCAAGAAAACCCGCGTGTTCCCACCTCCCCGGGCCTGGACTATGATGAGCTCTTCAGGTCCGTCTTTGACTGGGAACTCTACTGTGATTCCACCCGGTCCTCCTCGGACCAGACCTCGTCCTCTTCCTCGTCTCCTTGCACCTCTTCCCTTGGCCGCAACAGCCACAGGGACCTCCCCTCGCTCATCACTGAGATCCAACCCTTCCTTGACCACCTCTCCCTCGACCGGGACGGGTCCGGGTACCTCACCATGACCCCCGGCCTGAGCCCCGACCATGGCGGGAGGACTAGCTCCGAGTCCATGGGCCAGACTCCCCCAGAGCTCATCCGCGGTGGCAGCACATCCCCCTCTGATTACTCGGGCTCCGTCTTCCTCGACGCCGCCGATGAGGGACCCTACCGGCGCCGGCCCCAGGTCAGCCTCGAAGAGTTCCAGGCCCAGGATGATAAATGGACCTACCCCCAGGCCATGCCCAACAAGCACACCCCCCGGGGCTACCCACCTCGCATCCAGGTTCGCGAGTCGTCATCCCGCCGGGGTTCGCCCACCCAGATGCAGACGCAGACGACATCCGGCATCAAGCGGCAGAGGTCCAGCAGTAGTAGCTTGGACAAGAGGTCGAGGCACCTCTCTGATCCCGACCAGACGGCCGACGTCCGGAAGAGTGGGGCATGCCTACCATGCCGCATCTCCAAGACCCGCGTAAGAGAAAGCCCACCCACCAGCATCTCTCCTTTCCTCTCCTCTCCTCTCCTCTGTCGCCTCTCATGTATGCAAAACTGAGCCAATCCTAGTGTCAAGATTGTGGCGTCTGTCCTCACTGCCGCAAGGCGTTCCCAGACCACTCGCACCTGGTCTGTACCCGTAGGACCCCTGCCGTGGCTCCGCCCGTGATTCGTCATGTCGCCGGTATGTCGAGCAACCCCCCTGGCTCCCCCAATCTGAATGTGAGACATGATGCTGAGACACATCACATCAGACGTCTGGTCCCCCAACCCCGCCGAGGAGCGTCGCTGCGTTGACGACCCTCGCTTTCCCACGGCCAAGCCCAGGGATATCCTCATTTTCTTCACCCGCGAGCCCGATGCTCCCTACCTCCGCGCATCGGTCCAGGCCTACCATTCTCAGAACGGTCTTGATGAGAACCCCAGGAATGCCGCTTTTGAGCGCGATAGATTCCCTAGCTACGCTGAACTGCAGCGATGGGTTGAGGCCCAGATCAAGCGTGAGCGCAGCAGCACCCACTTCGAGCATGCCGTGCAAAACTTTTTGCTCTCCTACTCGGAGGGTGGCTATGATCTTCCCAAGGTAAATCCATCGAGATATTAATAACATTTCAACATCAAGCTGACTGTGTCGCAGCATAAGCTCGTGTCCAAGGTCCACACTATGAACTGCTTCTTCAGGATCTGGAAGGCCCCTCCCTTCACCTGCTGCAGCTCATCCAACAAGTTCTCTCATGTTCCATTTACCGTCCAAGCTGAGCTGAGGCGCATCGCATGGAAGGCACTTGTGTCTCATGAGCACGATATCCTCAAGCTTCTCGAGGAGTGCTTGGCGCAGCAGGAACCTCTGAAGCCTCGCGAGAGAATGGCTGTCTGGGCTAGCCTGTGGCAGCTCCTGCTCATGTACAGGGAGCTTGTGATCGCGCATGACAACTTCTTCATGCGTAACCCAAACGCTACAAGGGATCCCGCCGTTGGTAAGGAACTCCAACTTGGAGCTCAAGTACTTGGCTGACAAACTTGATAGCCATGCCTTATGACACCCTATACAACGTCTTCTTCCCCTTGATTGCCATCTTCTATCACTGCCAGTTCAAGACTCCTAAGAGGCTGGAGATGCCTATGGACTGGCTCAAGGAATCGGCAACCACTGGGTCGAGCCGCATCGCTAGGATCCACCAGTTCTCCAAAGATATGATGAATGCGAGAAAGGGATTCTGTAAGTGACCGAACCAGGCCCATTCTCCAACATGACACTAACCATGTCCAGACGAGGGAATCCAACGGTCGCCACATAAGATTGATGAGAGGCTGAGCCTCCTAGTGGTCAGCCATGAGCTTAAGAAGCTCTCTACCAAGAGACGTTCTAAGCCTTCTGGCAAATCCAAGAGTGGTTCGTGCGATGATGGCTAGTCTCGCATATCCACGTCCAGTCATTACTGGGAGACGAAATGAAATAACGATAACGAAAATGCCGAATATGAAAAAAGAAAGGAAAAAGAAAACAAAGAGAAAAAAAAAACATGGCTGTCCTTAACGATAACGAATGTAATGACGCTCGCTGCGTATGAAGTGTGTTCAATGGGTCGAATTCATGTATTGGGCTTGCTCTTCTTTTTTTGACGAGAAAATGTGTGTTATGACTGCAAGCTTACTTGGGCGGTTATCTTGAACCTTGGCTTCTTCCCCCCGTTCTTTTTGGCGGCTCCCTCGACTCTGTCGGCGAGATCTTCTAAACTGACACCCTCTGTGTTGGCGGAGGCGACTCCGATCGTTAACATGATTCTGTCCTTCTTGTCCTCGGCTTTCTTGATGTGTGATGTGATGCTGTGTGACTGTTAGATAATCTTGTAATTTGGAAGAGGGTAATGGTGTTACTGACTTGATGGCTTTCTTGACTTCCTCTGCAGTCCTTGGAGGCACGGGTAGGGCCATGGTAATGAGACTAGCCACAGCACCAGTGTATGAAGCCCAGAATGGGGCATCTCTATGCTGGTTCTCGAGGAGATCAGAAAGACTCCGCTGAAGCTGGGCCTCCAGAGGTCCTAAGTTGCCTCCCCACTGGGCTGATGTCGACAGTGCAAGAAGTGCCCGGCTGACGTGTGAGAGGCCGGGGGCGTCAGCGTCTCGGGTAATGGCATGGTGTAGTACAAACGAAGTGTTGTTGTCTGCATCATACCCCTGGCGAGCCCATATCTCGCGTACGAACAAGGCGCCCAAGCCAGTGGTCAGGACAGTCGGTACTGCAGAAAAGTCCACCTCCTTGGGGAAAGCGTTCGCCAGGACATCCAGGACGGCATCAAATATAGGCTTCTCCTCAGCTGTGACGGCGGCAAGAACGTTGAGAGGGTCACTCTCACGAATCTCAAGGGGAAGTTTCATCATCAGTGCGCCCTGGCGATTGGATCCTCCGCAGAATGTCACATTGCCGACATTAGGCACAGTAGCCAGGAATGCCTCGATCACGGTAGCGATGGCGGGAAACTGTTGACGGCGACGGCGCGAGAGGCCAAAGATACGACCATCATATTCGTCGTTGATCTTGCGCATCCTCTGGACCTGAGAGAAGAGCGATCCTGGAGCAGTGTAGCCGTTGGTTGACGAAATGGGATACGGCTTCACGGCGTCGTTATGCATGAGCATGCTACCATAGCCTCGGAAGCCGCCGCCGCACATGAAGACGTTCACACGGGCATCGTGGCCCTGCATGCGGGCAGCCCGGATGGCGTCGAGAGCGGGGAAGCGGGAACAGAGATTCGCATATGCCTCTTGCATGCCGGACTGGAGCTTGGAGATCTCGGTAGCTTGGACGTCGGCCGGCTGCTCGTGCAGGACGCGGATCAATCTGGCAGCTCCAAAGGGCAGGCTCACACCCGCTCGGGCGGCCTCGATCTCGTAATTAGCCTTGCTGGTGTCGACCCATGTCATCTGCACGCTGCCGCCTCCCAGGTCCAGGAATAGGGCGCCACCGTCGACACTTGCGAGGCCACTTCGTGAACCCATAATAGCACCAAAGAGGGTCTCGACTGCAGGTTCCAAGATGCTCACTCTGAGACCTCCTGTCTTCGAGGAAATGGCCTCAAGCATGTCGGCGGCGTTGTCAGCCCGGCGCATTGCCTCGGTGGCGAGAATGGTGATGTGTCTGACTGGGACTCCATGCTGCACCGCAACCTCTTGGAAGCGCGCAAGGGTACTGGCAACCGCACTGATAGTCTCGGCAGGGAACACAAGGCCCTTTGAGGTAGTGGTGAGTGCATCAAAGAGAGAAATTGGGGCTCGAGTTGAGTAGATGGGACGAAGTAGCCGAGTGAAGGGAGGGGCAAGAGACGTAATGGAGAATCGGATGCCATTGCTAGAAAGCTGTTAGGCCAGGTGCTCGCTCATGCTCCAGAATCACAAAAGGAGACATGCCTGCCCATGTCGACGATGGCATATAGCTGACTCTCGCCTTCAGGGTTCCATGGCGTAAGGGTTTGCGACAAGTTGTCGAGTGTGATGATGTCAGGAGCTGCTGTAGACATGGTTGAGCGTAAGTTGCCAATCCTGGTGGGTAGTAAAGGAAGCGAGTGTGGGGAGCAATTCAAAGCCAAGAGAAAGCATCTAGCTTGACTCCCAAGCTGCATTCATGAAGCGTATCGTTTGTTGCCTTGCTGGGCTTTGAAAAGTTGAGTGAGGTTCAAAAATGGGTCACGATCGTGGAGCCGCAATGGAAGGCACTCTCATGTAAGGGCAAGGCGGGGTCCCCCATTCCGTGGCCGATGCCCCGCGACGGCGCCGCCGTCTCTCGGAGCGGCTCAACGCCAGGTCCGGCATTTGCTACCAACCACGAGATTCCCGACAAGGCAGATTCACAGGCCTAAGAGGCGGCCATATCACATTCTAGAGGCATGGATTTAAGCGCGCGTGGCGTATTGTGCCTGACGTTTCTACTTGGGTCGCCGACGGCCTGGACGGTCTTCAGAATGGGACGCGGCACGTGGGCGAAGCTATGAGAAGGAAGATGGTCGCTGCGAATGTGACCGATCACGCACGATTAAGCGCCGTACTCTGCGTCTCATGCTCTGCGTCCCATGTCTTGCGTCTGGATGCGACCTTGAGGCAAAGGCCTTCGGAGACATATCCTTTGACTCTCGCATGAACTGGATGTTGCAGGCTCAAGATGTCTTCCGGGGTGAGCCGCAGAACATGGGGGATGGAAGCATCTTGCTGTCATTGTTGTTGTTTTGGTCAAGAGACAACACCAACCCTAGTTCGCGCGGTATCACTTGGGCCGCCACGAACGAACCCGACTGGACCGTCCCATCTTGACACTTGGTCGTCCTTGGGACTGCCACGATGAATACGTGTTTGGTCGACGGGCTGGTCTCTTTGTCGGAGCAACAGATGACAGATTGGTTCAGGGGACTATAGGTACAGTACTGTACATCCTTCAGGGGCAATGCCAACCTGCTTCGGGAATGGCCTCGCCGTTATGCTCTCGCCTGTCAGGGGATCCTCAACGCCCAGGACGCTGAATCCGAAAAAAATAAGACAAGCGCCGGCAATGCCACCCGCGGCGAGGCCCGGTTGACATTTCCCCTAACAAGTTGTGAAGGTACCTGCGTGGTCTAGACCGCAGCCGAGGTGCATCGGAGAGAGAGTGATGCCATACCCAACAATCCTTCACAGCAGAATCAAGGCAGTTCCCAAGAAGCATCAGCATCCATGATATGATGTGACGCTGAATCGCTCACTGTCGATCCCGATAGCTCAGCTTACTAGGCTAGCTCCCCGCGGACGGCCCCAAGGGAAGAGCCCTGTACTGCACGTACCAGCCCAACCATGAGAAAAAAAGGACGAGACCACACAGGAGCTTGTCGATGGATGTAGCAAGGAGTCGGGAATGCGCCTTGCGTTCTGCAAGCCAGCGCATGCGCATGCGGTGTTCCATACGTAGCTCAACGCGCTCCATGGCCACTGACAGGCTGCGCCAGTTCCTGTTACTCGGACAGAGATATCCACTGAAAGTAAATATCAACAAAACAAACTCGAAGCGAAACAAAACAAGACCAGATGGCATTTGTTGGATGGCGGGCGCCGCAAAAGGGGGAGGGGGAAAAAAAGCAAGAGAAAAGAAACTACGCGCCTAGGGCCGCACGGGAAGTGGAAAACCGTTTGATGCCATCCATCGCCTGCTTGCATTGCCGCTCCAAGGCATTACATGGCTGCTACAATGTCTTGGGGCTAGCTTTTAGGGCTCAACAGCGAGAACCGCATCGCGCGTTTGAGGAATTGCCTACGACGTAATTGAGCCTGCGACAAAAACAATCCGGCGCGGTGGTGATGTCAATCGAGCTGACCTGGATCGAGATTGTCAAGGCATCCCTCTCATTCTTTCATCCCACGCCCCGTGAGTTAGAGGTTGATGGCGATCGAATTGAGCAAATGTCGTGAATCTTTCTCTCTGCCTCTCTCTTTCGAGAAGAGCTCCCCTTGTCAGAAGTCGTACGATGCTGCAGCATGGCCCCCTGTCTCCGGGAATACGTACCGGGACAAGCATCATATCGGCCCAGAAAAGTGCATTGCGCTGCACTGCACTCCAGAGACTGAAAAATGAGTGACTGCCCTCTTCTCTGGCCAGGATGCTGGGATATGGCTCTGGCCATGGAGCGTGGGGGGAGTCGCCCTAGCTAGCTCTGAGCCTGATACGGTTGAGATCGACGGCGGGAGACGCACGTTGCACTGCCGTGTAAACCCATCGTCAAAAGTCTTGCCAGAACGTCGCATCCATTCATTATCTCTGCATTCACACGGCGGGACATCCAGGTTGAAGTGGGACACAGGAGGCTAGTTACTCCAGGATCGAAAGGAACCCCATCATGGATCGTATCCAGCTCAGCTCACTCAGCTGGCGCTGAAGCAGTGAGTGATGCGGTTTGCCATCACCAGCTCTTGATCCTTCTTCTACAGCACCCCGGCCAGACGGACCTGGTTAGCCAGCAGCGGTAAGCGGACGGATCAAGATATAGTCCGTGAAGCGATATGAGCCTTGGCCAACCTCCTCTGACTTGTTGGCCAGCTCGAGGTCTGGTTGGTAGAAACCAGCGCGCAGTCAGCAGGCCTGGACGCTTCTCTGCCGTTTCTGTTTCGTTTGCCGGCTCTTGACTTGCCCCTCGTCGCGTGAAGCTAGAGCTGCCAGCTGCCCCCCTTGACCCAGGGCCCGAGCTTTTGTCTGTCACACAACCAGCCAGCCTCTTTCATCACACCCATTGCTCTGGGATGGAATGCCCACGTCTGGAGAGAGAGAGGCTTGAGCAAGCGTGTGTGGTGCTGCACGTACATCAGAGCCCGGGTTGTGCTGCAGTGCCCACCGAGGACCGAGGGGATATCGACATGGGGACTCCTCCGCACCGAGAGAGGGGTTCGTTGAGATT